CGGAATAGCACGGACAGCGACGAGCAGAAGCGCGACGAAATAAACCCACCAAGCGAACAACCCACACCCGAAGGGATTGTCCAGAAGTAAGGTGCACCATTTGACGACGGCGGCTAGGGTTCCCACGATGAAAGGGGCGGTGGCAGCTGCTCAGAGACTAGGGTTTCTAAATATCCTTAGGATATTAGGGTTTATTTTTGGCTCTGATACCAACTTAGTTTTGATGGAATAAAAATAATTGTATTCCAATATATGATCAAGTAAAAAATCCATAGCCTTCTTATACAGAAGAGAGGCTTAAAATATAAAAGGAAATAACGATAATTAACAATTGACATTTACAACTAATTTACATTAAATATTCACAAATAGTAAACCAACAAAAATAAATTTCGACTTTTTCTCTCTCCTGAATCCTCCTCTAAATTTCTACCAACTTACTAAGTACCATCTCATTGAGGGTTATCAAAAACGAATCTTAACGTTTACCAAGGGTATAATTAAAAAAAATGTTAAAACATAAGGACTATAAATTGAAACTTTTTAAATAACACTAAAAACTAAAATGTATATTTGCCTCAATAATTTTATTATTAATTACTTCTGTTACATTTTGAAAATTCTCATTTCCTGTTTAATAAAAATTACTTACAGTACTTTTTACTAATATACAAATAATAATAATAAAAAAATACAGAGATTTGGATAAGGTAGAGTCAAGGTCAAGTTTTATTGTTCATCCCCAATTTTGAACATAATCACATCCACAAAGAGATTTGCTACCCACAAAATTTTTGTCATCCCTAATCCCTAAACTTAAGGATAAGTCAAGTAATATGCCCAAGCCTCAATCTATATCTCAAAGGAGTCAAGTAATATCTAAAGAAGTACCTTGACCCATTCCATAGTAAGGACCCTACGAGTTGTGTGCTCCATGAGCATTTGAGGAACCAACACATCTGGCAAACTTCCATACAACTGTCTGCTCAGTGAAAAGTAAATTATGGCGAATCATTAGGCAAACATTATTTATTCTCATTATAAAACATATCCAAGCATAGTTAATAAGATCTCGATAACATGGAAAAATGTCATGTTTTATTGTTTTTTTTTTCTTCTAGGAAGTGGGGGATCAACAAACTGTATTATGTAATTTTTAAACACTTGAGAAGAAAAATGGTAAGACCATGCAAAGGTGAGTTATAAAACATGGATCAAAAAGCTTTTTTTTTTTAAGAGAACCGGAGTTTTTAATGAGAGAAATTAAAGAATACACAAGGACATACAAAAAAGTCAACCAGAATAAAAGGCTACAATGAAAGTTTCAAAGCTCAAATACCATGTTAAGAATGAATGAACTGCCACTCAACCCAAAAGCTTAAGCTGATGAGTTGGATAAATTTAATTCATATATTGGATATCTAATACTCCCCCTCCTCACTTGTGGACTTGAATAATTGCACAAAGCCAACAAGTGAAAATAGTTATAAAGGGGAGGAAACAACAATGCAAGAGTTCGAACATGGGACCTCCCGCTCTGATACCATGTTAATTGATAAGAAAAATAATTCTTTATTACTTAAACATTGAAGAGTTGATACAAGAATATAATAACAGCTACACAGAAGGGGAAAAAAACGAAACCCTTACCTATTAGGATAAGTAAACATTTATCTATTAGAACAAGGAAAACCTAACCTAAATACAATAGTAAATTAAAATATATTAAATATAATCTAACAAAACCAGCTTGAGGGAGAGTGTTGGAATATATAAACATTTATTAGTTGTCTTTTTAATCTTTATGGTTTTTATTTCTTTCTTTCTTGTATACGTCTCCTATTCGTTTTTGTCGTAGGTTTATTATTCTTTTTTGTGGTAGGTCTTTCTCCTATATAAGAAGACCTAAGTTGCACTATTCGAATATATCATAATATTTCTATTCTCTTAAACTTTCTTACAATTCGTAATAAATCATTGTGATTATGATATAGCAAGTCACGCCTGCTACAACTATGCCTGCTTAAGCTGCCTAGATGATCCCAAGTAACAAGTTTAGTTATGCCATTGGTGTGGGGACCTATATTTCATTGCTGAGGTGCCTCAAATTACAACAAAGAAAATTCATCAGTATTGAGACAAACCATAAAATAGTCATCAACTCTCCCTGAGCAAAAAAAAAAAGTGCTCATATTATATAATCTTAAGAAAATCCATAAGTTTACCACGTTATTCATACCTTGGAGTCCAATTTTTTATGGAACACAACACCTGGAACACATCACGCTACAATCCTACATTCCTTTACTTTTCCAGTAAACCAACCTTGCAAATAGAGACCCTTCAAATTATGAAAATGAAGCCAGTGATAATAAACTTGCTCTTACCTGAATTTACGACCATTTTTTGCTTCTCTCCTGTAATCCATCTCCTGCATTCAATGTGATTTACGATTTACCTGTATTCAATCTTAACTTGAGAATATTCATCCAAAATACTTGAAACAAAATTTTAAGAATAGAATTTTAGGATGATGGGATGAGATATAATCATTTGTAAAGGGAAAAGAAAAATTTCTTAATATGTAAAGGAAGAGAGGAGGTATTCTCCAAAAGTATGATCATAAAATTTCAAAGAAATATATCTGCCTACCATAACATGGTTGAGGGGAGGGATCTTGGAAGTTAAGTTACAAATGTTTATTAATTTGTTTGGGTTAAATTACAAGCTTAGTACCTAAAGCGGTGAAAGGAAAGGATAACCAATAAGACGAAAGATGGACAAGCTCAACAAGGAACAAAATAACA